AATGGAATCCTATGAATGCAACTTAAGTGTTAGCTGGAACAAATATTCACTGAGTCTCCTATGTGTCAAATATCGTGGTGGGTACTTTCATCATCATCTCAGTTCTCCCTCATAGCAGTGTCAGGAAAAGAGCAAGGTTCAGTGAAGTCAAGTGACCTGTCCAAAGCCACTAAGAATCCAAACTGTCTGCCTCATAGCCCAGAGCTCTTTCCATTATCCTACAGCTGTCTTCTCCTGAATGCCCTCATGAGCAGGTGGCTTCATCTGAGACAATGGGCACAGCTGGATACCAGAGCTCAAAGGGATGAAAAGACATGGTCCATGGTTCCCCAGTGTCCTATGCAATGAGACAATAGCACAGATCTCCCTCTTCCACACTGCACTCCCCTCCCGCTTGGTTTACAGGACTTTCTCCAGGTCTTCCCTGACATCTCCTGCACTAGGTTCAGGGCCCTGCTATTAGCTCCACAGCACTCTGCACTTTCCCTCTGAGTACTTCTCACTCCACATTATGAATGCTTGTTGGTTGTCCATCTTCCTTGACTCACCATAAGCTTCTGGGGGGTAAGGACAACTTTTGCTTTGCTCACCATTAATTTCCCAGGGCTTAGCACATGGTAGGTGCTCAACAAAGATTTACTGAATTATTGATTGAAAGAAAAAATAGAAGGATGGATGGATGGATGGATGGATGAAAGGATAGATGGATGATGGTTTATCATCCCCTCAAAATTACCACGTCTTAAATTAAAGTGATCTTTCCCCTCCTGACAAGTTAACTTAACTTGACTTCCCTAGTTTGTGAGTAGTACCATCAAAAGATGGCGACGTATAAGGACTTTCAACCTTCTGACTTTAAATCCTGCCTCCATCATTTACTAACCATTGAATAATAAATAATTTATTTACTCTCTCTGAACCTTAGCTTCCTCATTGTAATACGGTATTGTGAGGCTTATTGATGATGCTTACAGTGCCTGGAATATACAACGAGTTCAATGAATAGTTGCCATTAATCTTAGCATATACAACAATATATTAGATCACTTATGTTTATCTTTGGTGGCTCTTTTATCTTCCACTCCCTCTCCCACCCAGAATAACCGTTGGATATTTAACCTGTCTAATCTTTCTTCCAAATACCTTCTATGTTTGTTTCACCACCGTCATCTCATCTCCCCATTTAATGCAGCAGGTTCTAATCAGTTCCTTTGCTTCAGGTTTGTCTTCCAATGTTTCAGGAGCACCCTGTAGTGGCTCTAAAATTCCTACAGAGAAGACATTTAGGGTGGCACTCTTTGGCTCTCCACAGAGTAGGGAGGATAAGAGACTTGTCTTGAAGCTGCATATGCACATCGCTTTACAAAATATTGAGGACAATATCAATTGTCCATATTAAAGCATGGGGGTAGGAAGCTTGGTAGAAAGGGATGCTAAAGCTCTCCACCCTTGGCTGGCCCTTGGGGGCACCTCTGGGCAGAAGCTGCCAATTTGTATTTCCTAAAATATGGTTCTCAATAAGGTCCTTTTTTGCTAAATTTTTTCAATGAGTCTGGAGAAGCTGCAGAACAAGTTCCAGGATCCTTTGCCTCACGTTCGGGACTCTTCACAATTTTGCTTCAGGCTGACTGTTCCGGGGCATTTTGCTCCAACACCAATTTCTCATTTCATTCAATGCCCCCTGAATACACCAAAGCTATTGCTAACTCCATGTCTTTGTCCAGGAGTGCCCCTGCCCCTCACCCCCCCCCACCCCCACAGTGGTCCTCCCCAGTGCCTCTCATCTAATGAAATTGTATTCATCTCCCAAAGCCTGGCTCAAGAATTGTCCTCCCAAGGAACCTTCGCAACTACCCCAGCCTACAGTGCTCCTCCTTTCTTGGAATTTCCAGGGTTTCTTACTGTCAGGATAGTTTATTCTGGCACTTAACTACACAACTTTCTTGTACTGTTGTTGAAACATTTCACATATTGATGTTTTCTCTCCCACTGGACTGAGAGGTCCATTTAGGATAAGGACTGCCACATACCTCTTTGGATCCCCATGGCACCCAGCCCAATCAGTGTGGGACACAGCGGAGGTAGGCAATGGGCTGCGGAGTTATAAGCCATCCCAGGAGGCACTCTGCTCTTCTGACCCACAAATGCATGACAATGGAAAAGAGGCTTCGGATTTAGGGACAGTCATTTCCAGGGGCCCAAGGACTCTCCCCAAGGAATTTATGCCAAATATCTACTGGCTGTAAGACTTGGGACCTGGGAAAACTGAGTGTTTATGACCCAATCTCAGCCTAGCCAAACCATTTCCTATGCTGGTGACTAACGACTTGGAGCTGAAGGCATCTTGTTACCTTCAGCTTGAGCAATGTGGATTTAAACACACATCTGTCTTCATGTGCACACCAGCCCTCAAGCAATAAATGGTGTCACCAGGTTCTTGAGAAAGGCCACCAGCGATGGAGGGTTAGAGACGGTGCTTTAAAACTGCTGCGAAAATATCTCCTGTAGAAAGAAATAAAAAGGAAGAATCTAAGTGAAGAGTATCCAAGAATTCTTTGTACTATTTTTGCAACTTTTCTGCAAGGCTGACATTATATCAAAATATTAAATACAATTTTAAAGCAGAAATAATAAAAAGTCACCTTCTCTCTATAGTTTCCCACCCACCTTCCTCAGCCTTTAAGAATTAACATTTTTTTCAACACATTCACACATGAATTATAGTTGTGAATATTTCTACTTCCCCTATTAGACAAGAAGTACAAAATGGAAGATGAAAGTAGTAAGAGTCAAAGCAACCTTTTAAATATTTTATAATATAAAAATAATAATATTTTAGAATATTAAATTATAATATTAATAGTAGAACAGAAGAGTTTTAATATTTTGTGATCTGGGGCAAGATATGTAACCTCTTTAGGTTACAGTTTCCACATCTTTAATGTGGAATTAAAAATGCCTATCCCTTGGCATTGTCATAAGAATTAAATAAAAAAGTAAATATTAAATCATTAATATGATTCCCAGTCCACAGGTGGTGCCATGACACACTAGTTCCAAACATTTAAAAAATGTCAATAACCAAGTTCTAGTCACTTTGTGTCCTCACCACCTAAAAAAGCATCTGGCACAGGGTAGATTCGTAATGAATAGTTATTGAGGAAGGGGGAGGTGAATAAGTGCTAGAATTCTACTACAGCAACTCTACAGCTGACCCCAAAGCCCCAGCAACAGCCCCTGCTTTTGCCATTCCTTCTGAGTGACCTTGTGAGAGCCCCATAACCTCTCCAAGCCTCTGCTTTCCTCATCTATGAAATGGGCTGGTTTTCATTACAACCGGAAAGGATTAGCTAATTAGAGAGGGCTATACAGCTCCTGGGATCTAAGACCCCTGGGGAGAGGACTGGAAAAACAGAGCAGATGTGTGATCCAGCCGCCTGCTGGGCCTAGAGGGGTTAATTTCACTTACAGGAATGGGCTTCTCAGAGCGCTGGCCCCGACTCCCAACACAGGTGCGGGTGAGGTTGAAGGTGAGCGGTTCCTCCTGCCTTAGTGTGGCTGAGAGAGAAGCCACTGCTCCAGGGACGTCCAGAGGCTGGGGACCAGAGAGTGCACGTCCAAGTTTTCTCAGGGCCAAGGACACGTGTGCACGGCAGGAGTTCCAGACAGTTGAGACCTGAGCGTGGCCATCACTGCCTTTTCCTTTTCTAGTCCCCTCTCAGAAGGCAGACCCGCAGTGGCAAAGCTCCCCCCACCCACCCACCCCCCGCACGGCCCCCAGCCCTCCGCAGACCTCCTAGGCTAAGTCCCTGGCGCCCTTGCAAGGAGGGAATTCCATGCCCTCTGCCTTCTTTTCTTTCTAAAAGGAGTGAGGGTGGTGGTGTATATTTTGGCCAGGGCCACATGCAGTGCGCTTCGCTCCAGGGCTGCATAAAGGACCGGGTTCCACTGAGTTCTGGACCCCTACACCCTGGGGTGATGGCTAGCTTAGCCCTGCCCGGATCTGAGGGCGGGCTACTGTAAATACTGACCTCAGAAAGAGAGCGAATGCGAAAGGCCAAGGGAAGGCGAGGCAAAGGGTGGCTGTGGTGCCAAAACAGGCGGCGAAGACAGGAGTGCCACCACCAGACCGGTCGCTTGACTGTCTTAACTGTCACTTCCACGCTTAATTGTGTGGTGGCTCTGTAGTTTCATGCTGACAAAACCAGACAGAGAGGGCTGAGGAGGAGAAAAGAGGGGAGAGGAGGGAGGAGGTGAGAGAGGTGAGGCAAGAAGAAGGTAAATAAGAGAGGGAAGGAGAGGGAAGGAGATAGAAGAGGGATAAAGGGCAGATTTGTGAGAGAAATGGAAGCAGAGTGTGTGTGAGCGAGAAAAAGAGATCAAGAGAGAAGCGGAGAGAAGGACAAAGTGAGGACAGACAGAAGACTGAGGCCTCACCCCTCGACCCTTGGCCGAGGTGACGCCGATGCTCTCCCACATAGAATCAACCCCACACCGAGCACCTCGCGCAACCACCCCGCCCCTGCGCGCCCCGAACCCCCCGCGCGCTCCCTGGGGCCCCGAGGTGGAGGCGGCCCGGCCGACTCCCTTCTCCGCCGGCCCACGGGCCCCGCTGCTCGCCCCAAACACTGGGAGGGAGGGAGCGAGCCAACGAGCGAGGGAGGGAGGGAGGGGCTGCCGGTGGGAGGCAACCATGTGGTTCCAGCTCACTCTATTTTTTTTTCCTCTCTCTTTCTTCACTCCTTTTTCTTTCCAAACAGGGAAAAGTGTTCCACGAAGCGGTAGCGCCTTTCCGCCTCGCCTTTTCCTCTCTGAACCTGGTCCCCGCTCCGGTCCGGGCGCGAGTTGGTGGGGGCGAGCGCCGGCAGCCCCTCTGCGCCGGGGAGCGCGGGGCGCGGGA